AACTGGTGAAATAAAAGCAGAGTTGGAGTACTTGCTTGCAGACGAAAGTATAGTAAAGTATGATTCTAATAGTTGATTGATTAACTCTTTTTCTACTGAACGTATTTTTCTTCGTTTTTCCGTTTCCTATTATCTGTAGTATATTGTCATTTGTCATTTTTCTTTTCGGTCTCCGTTTAACAAAATAAAAGGGAGACTGCTGAAAAAAAGCAGAGTTGGAGTACTTGCTTGCAGTATAGTAAAGTATAGTAAAGTATTTTTTGAGTGTTTATTGGCATATAGGCATAGTGTTACAGTGCAGCGGAGAGATAAATACCTGCATTTCAAAGAGATTGTGAACAAAATAAGTTGTTTATGTTTTTTACGCCTTTAATAGGCTATAGTTTTAGGTTATTGATTTAAGTGAGATATAACTAATATTTAAAATGGGTAGAGACAAGAAAAGGTGTTATTCAAGTAGCTCGTCTACTTCAAGTAGTGAAAATACTTCTTCTAGTGATAGTGATTGTGCTGGGCGTTACAGTAAAAAGAAACATAGAGGCAAAACCGTAAGTACAACACATTCAAATAAATACTTTCGACAAAAGAGACATTGTGGCCAGCGGGTTGATGTAAACGTTACACCCCGCCAACGGCAGAAGGTACGTTCTGCAGACCGGGCCGAAAGCGAGCATTAAACACGTCCGTACACGCCAGTTGGAGATAGTAATGTACTGATAAGTACTAGATGATCTAAACGTTAGACGCTGTGCTGAAAAATCGTCAGATATCGGAACTGTGGGGTCTGCTGATCCAAACTTTGGACAAAGCAGTACCTCAACTACGCAGAATCAATCACGATCACGCATAGGCCAATTGGAAGAGTTAGTGGTTACACGTTTACGGAAAGATGAGTAACGTAATGTAAGAGTGTCCATCAGACCAGATTGCATTCCGGAATTTGATCCAAATGACAGGAATGACATTTGCTCTCGATGGTTAGATAAAATTTATCGATTGTCAAGTATAAATAAGTGGGATGAAAAGACCACTATATATCACATGCAATCAAGACTAGTCGGATTTGATGAAGTATGGTACAATAGCTTAGACAGTTACAAGCATTCTTGGAATGATTGGAAGCGCATGCTTAGCCTAGCTTTCCCAGATCACCAAGATTTTCCGACTTCCCTTAGAAAAATGATTACCATAGTCAAAATTGCAGAAGGAACATGGACAGAATATTACTTTTCCAAGGTACAATTGTTACGACAGTGCAATATTGATGTTGCGATGATATACCTTATGTTATATTTTTGCATGTAGCTAGAAGGAATATCTTAAGAGGTAAATTGGCCGTTTAAATCCTGCTTTTTCAGGCGCTTAAATAAAGTGAAACGAGTGATATTGGGTTTATGTTGCCAATGCTTTCGGGAAATTCCGGTCAAAATAGTTGAGGTAATTCCGGTTGTGACCGGTATTACCCCATATCACGACCGCTATTACCTTACAGGCTCTCTTATGATAATTTGGAATATTAATATCTTTGTGTTCATTGTTTAATCAATGTATTTTATTTGTTACAGATGCCCAGAAATTATATGAAAAAAGGAAACAAAGCTAAATAAAAGACCTCCGAGCAACTCCAAAATGCATTGCAATTTATCCAACAAGGAAACTAAATTCCATCAGCAAGTTAAAAATTTCACATTCCCTTTAACACAATACGGGAAATAAAATCAAAGAATAAGATTTCCGCTCCAAATATGGGAAGACCAAGTACGTTAAGGTTGGAGGAACGAGCTCTTCTAGCTAACCGTATAAAATATTTATCCGGTACTTTTTATAGTGTTAGCCCCCTACAAGTTTGACGAATTTCTTACGAATATGTAACCAATAATAATATAAATCACAACTTCAGCCATACATCTAAAATGGCAGGAAAGGATTGGTTTTATGCTTTCTTGAAAAGAAATCCTACAATAAGTGTTCGAAAACCGGAAGCGACCAGTATTAATAGGATAATCGCCTTTAATCGAGGCGAGGTAGCGAAACTCTTCAAGAATTTGGAAACTATAATGCTTAAGTGCCAATATTTGCCAAACCAAATATACAATGTCGACAAGAGAGGCATATCGACCGTTCAAGATCCTGGAACCATTGTTGCAACCAAAGGAAAATAGGTATTGGCTCTGTAACAAGCTAGGACAAGGCAAGACCAATTACAATTATCTGCAGCATGAATGCAGCTGGGACATACCTCCACTTTTTATCTTCCCTCGAAAAAAGATGTATCCGCTTTTATCGAAAGGTGGCCCTCTATGTGCTGCCTATAAATGTTCCCACAATGGCTGGTCAAACGAAGAGTTATTTTACGACTGGAACACTTCATAGCATATTCAAAATGCAGCAAAGAGGCCCATGTCTATTGATATTAGATAATAATCATAGCAGCCATATAACATTGAAAACTTACTATTTGTATAGAGAAAATGAGATCTCATGTTGTCCTTACCACCTCGTGCATCACACAGAATGCAACTCTTGGATGTAACCCTATACGCGGGCCATTAAAAGCTGGTTTCCGCAGAGAATGTGATATCTACATAAAGTCAAAGGCATCCAACAGAACACTAACACCGTTGAAGTCAAGAAATACGACTTCTTCGGTACCTTCTGGTCTTTCAATGAAAAATAAAAAGAAGTTCTCTTAAACCACTTCCTGTTCCCAAAGTAAATGTCCTCATTAAAAAGGGACTTTCCACCTCCAAAGATTTTAAGAAACCAATGAATATTCCAGGATCTGTATCTACTTCAAAATTTTACAATCTGTTGCCAGGTCTTTCTACCAATTCTACTAATAAAAGACCATCAGTTAGTCAACCTAAACATTCACAAATATTAACCGAGAGTCCTTTAAAAACACAATTAGAAAAACAGGCGAAGAAGAAAAACGAAAAGGGAGAAAAGGGAAAGAAACCACAGAAGACATCCAAAAAGAAGAAGGTGTTCATGAGGAATTTGAAGAAACTATTGCAAAGCGATTTATCAGACGAAGAAAATATAGACGATAAAACTCTGTGCCAGGATGATGAGTCGGACGACATGGAATGCGAAGAAAGCAATGAAATCTGTCTAAAGCTACGTTTACACGATGCAAGTTTTGCTTGCGCAAGAACTTGATTGCAAGTACTTGCTTAATGTAAACTGTGTTTCAAGTAATTGCTCAACTGATTGTACAAGAAAAATTACTTGGCAAGTAAATTTGATCGACGGTCTACTTTTCTTGCACGCTAGGACTTGCAGAGTGAAAATTTGACATGTAAACACATTGTCAAGTTCTTGCAGTAGCAGTTGAACGAAAAAATGGCACCAAGCTGGTAGCCTGACGACCAAATTATGAGGTTGTTAAATTTCCGAAAAGCACCAATATTTGTAGAACGTTGAAGTGTACACCTTATTGTACACTATAGATATCAAAATATGGGAGATGCTGTCTCTGAAAGCGTTTTGGAATAAATAATTTTTCCTTAGATTTATCCATGGTTTTACCTATACTCTGGCTTTTTGATTTTTCTTACAAAGTAGGCAAATCAATACTTAACGTGCGACATTAAATTTACACCATATTTAACAATCTCTGTGGTATCCATAGTTCTTGCGCAATAACTTGATTAGTGTAGACATACAATTTTAAAATGTTCAATTGCAAGTACTTGCAATCAAGTATTTGCGCAAGCAAAACTTGCATCGTGTAAAAATAAAAATTTGGGGGGAATGGCAAGTTATGGTAGAGGTGTATTGTTTGTGGCCGTTGGATTCACGCGTTATGTAGTGGTTGGAATGAAAACTACAAATGCGATATTTGTATTAAAAAGTAAAACTTTGCGTGTCTTTTTATGTTACATTTAATTGTTTTTATTGTCCTAGTTAACTACTGTTCATGTAGTTTTTATAAGCTTTTATTTAACTTGCTTTGTAACTATCTATGTATGTATGTTTGTTCGGGGCAAATCTTGTAAGCTAAATTAGAACCACTTCCTTCAGTCCCGATGACAATACATTTTTTTGCAAGGCATGACCCGAATTTTTGACAGCTGTCAAAATGGCGGCCAAAATGGCGGCATTTTTGAGGTTTTTGATTTTTAAAATTCCATTTATGAATGGATCGGGCTGAAATTATATATATAGGTATATTGTGGGTATATACATATGAAAAAAATATATGGGCGGCCATCTTGACAAAATGACAGTTTAATGATGTGTCAAAATTTCAAAGTCAACCGAGTTTGATAAAAATCGATATATAGGATGGCCATGGGCTAAAATGAAAGAAAAAAAATTGAGCTGTCACATTTGACAGCTGTCAAAAAAATTTCAAAGTTGTCCGATTTTGATAAAAATCGATATATAGGATGGCCATGGACTAAAATGAAGGAAAAAATAATTTGAGCTGTTAAATTTGACAGCTGTCAAAAAAATTTCAAAGTTGTCCGATTTTGATAAAAAAAATGTTTTTAAAAAATCGATATATTGGATGCCTCCTACCCTATAGTCGGTTTTCATTTTATTTGTCTTAGATTTGAACTGTCAGATATGACAGCTGTCGTTTTTTTTAAGTTCTCATATTTTAATGAAAATCGATATACATATTATTAGGATGCCCATAGGAAGTTATTTAAGAAAAAAATAATTGAGTGAGTGTAAGTGTGTGGAAGTTGCTGACCTAAATATTATTGAAGCACAACCTGAGACAAGTACCAGGAAAATTGCAGCGGAATTAAATACTTGCGCATCAGCTGTATGGAGGATATTAAAATAACAGCAGTTATATCCTTACCACATACAGAGAGTTCAAGCTCTCTCACAGATTTCGAGCTGAGAATGACATTTTCCCAATGGTTTCATCAAATAAATATGGAAAACCCTTTTTTTTGTTCAGAAACCTGCCAGAAGAAACACAGTGTGCCAAAAAAAGGTTTAGTTGTTAGACCGATACTAAGTAAAAACATAAACTCAAGATGTCAGGTCGACTTAATCAATACAAGTTCATACTTGTATACCAAGACCATCTTACTAAGTTCGTCCCACTTCGACCTCTTAAAAGCAAAAGGGCAGAGGAAGTGGCTTATGTACTCTTGGACATTTTTACAATTTTCGGTGCGCCTAGTATTTTGCAAAGCGATAATGGGAGAGAATTTGCCAACCATACCATTACTGAACTGTGCAGTATGTGGCCTGAGTTAAAAATGGTTCGTGGAAAACCCAGGCACTCTCAGAGTCAAGGCTCATTAGAACGTGCTAATCAGGACGTGGAAAATATGCTTTGTTCGTGGCTGGAAGACAATAACACTAAGAAATGGTCGGAAGGTTTACGTTTTGTTCAGTTAATGAAGAACAGGGCTCATCATAGTGGCATAAACTGTTCTCCGTAGGAAACCATGTTTGGAACAAAGTTAAAAGTTGGTTTACAAGATTGTTAAAGAAAGAAAAAAATTCAGAAATTTAGGCAAAGAATACAAAACAGCTAAAGGAAAAACTAGAGCAGTTAGAGTTTTAAGACCATTGCGAGAAAACTGTAGAAATAGATGTACAGAAAAACTAAATGACGTTGGTGTTACGCATCCGCAGCGGTTTTTCAGTAGTAACGCTTCAAATTGTAAGCTACGAGTGTCTACGGGTAGTCATGTTTTAGTCATGTCCCATGACTAATCTTACTGTGGACTTGCCCAATAAATTCTTTCTTCTTTTTATTATAGTCTCCACGATAACATCTTTTGTTTATTGTTGTCTCTGGGCCAAGGTCATAGCGGCGAGGTGTGTTGGAACGCCTCCGCAGCGGTTTTTCGGTAGTAACGCTTCAAATTGTAAGCTACTGCCTAACCAGGCTGCAAATGGCGCCTTGTGCCTCGTTTGCTTCCCTTCTTTTTTTCAGGATCGCTAGTTCATCGTTGCTGATTCCTCCCGTATTGACGAAGCCGGAAGGCAGAAACACTGAATGCCTACGGGTAGTCATGTTTTAGTCATTCTCATGACTAATCTTACTGTAGACTTGCCCAATAAATTATTTCTTCTCTCTCTCTCTCTAATGAAATATATCTATATATATATATATATATATATATATATATATATATATATATATATATATATATATATATATATATATATATATATATATATATATATATATATATATATATATATATATATATATATATATATATATATATATATATATATATATATATATATATATATATATATATATATATATATATATACACACTGCTGGCAAAGGAATATTAGCAATAGGAGGTTTTCAATGCAATAAAAAAAGATGGTAAGGCTGCAAAATACACTGCAGTGCAACAGAGACGGATAAAGTGTCTTTTCCCTACCATCGTATAGGGGTAGTGATCATAGAAGTGATACGACGAGAGAGCCCCTGCGAGAGGGGGCGCCGGGCGGGTCTTTAAGACGCTTGTGTGGGGGCTACCGCCTACTAATAGACCAGAATCGAAAAAATAGAAACAGGACGGACAGTGTTGCCATTCAATTAAATCGAAATTATGTTGGCTTGTCAAAATCCTATTATCTTGCCTACTTAATGAAATATTAAATAAAGTACAAAACAATTTTAAGAATGTTTTCTCTAGGCACATAACTTCTTTCTAAAACGAAAAGTAACATGCAAAACTTTGAAATCAATTCTAAAATAGCAAGTGCAATTCTATGAAATGGCAATACTGTACGATCTTCCTAGCAGTCGCCCCGACACAGTCGGTCGGCGGCGGCGCTTGCCAAAGCCGCGGCTGTGACAAGCGCCGGGTTTGTTAGATTATAATTCCATACGAGAACAAAATTCTCGGTAGATCTTCAACAAAAATTAAAAGTACAGAAACGAAATAAAATATAATATTTAAGTCCAAAATTAGCATTCCTATGTGTCGTAATAATAGATAACTCAAATAAAATACAAATATAATAAATATAACAAGAATTAGAAATAGCTAGGTATATTATTTGATATTAAAAAAAATATTGAATTAAATAATATTAATATATTAATAAAAACATATAAAACTATAACAAGTAGGGATAGCAGTCACAAATTAGTGTAACAGTCACTTTTTACCTTTGTACAAATTTTGATCAGTGATATCTAAAATTAATTTCATTTCAATGGTAAAGCTGTAGCAACTCTCAACTCTTTTTTCATATTAATAAATTTTTTTGACGGGAAAATCACTAAATATTGTCCGAATTTAGGTTGTTTCTTAACTTAAATTTTGTTTTTGTTTACATTTTTTGGGGGAAAATATGGGTTCAACTTTAGTAGATGAATGAAATAAAATCTTTTCAAAAGATATCAACTTCTTCGGGCATGCCGCCAATCCCGCGCCTAATAAGGAGTAATAAGGATTTTTAGGAATATCTCTGTAACTCTGCAACTAGACAGAACGATGACCTGTATGTCTGTTATTACTAAATAAAATTTAATGAAACAATAATAAAGTCAGATTATATAGATTCCAACGCGGCAGTCGCTTAATTTTTAGTCAAATAAGTCAGCTTTTTAAAAGTGCTTCTATTGTAAAAACTAAAGACGCAGTTGAATATATCGTTGGGTTTTTCTTTAAATCGGTAGATCGGTAGCTTACAGACGAAACCGGTAGACCTGGCAACTCTGTGATGAACTGACGGGAGTGGAATAGCGAGGTGCGGAGGCGCGGGAAGGAAATAAAATAATGGCGATAAATAAAAGGCAGGGAGATGGGTATCATGAGTGGATGGGAGGTGGCGGAATTTCCAAAATTTGTTATTTTATTGGAGTTTGTCTAAGTAGACAGGCGTAGTGGAAGTGGAAACGGGGAAGTTGTTGTCCATCTCTGTTTAAGTATAGACTTTTTATAGGCGTTTCGTTCCAATGCATGTAATTCCTATGCCTAGAGATCCATTGCCGGGCCTGTATATATATATATATATATATATATATATATATATATATATATATATATATATATATATATATATATATATATATATATATATATATATATATATATATATATATATATATATATATATATATATATATATATATATATAAAATGAACAAAATTCTTACAGCTTTAGTGTATATTAATAAATAAAATAAAATAAAGAAAAAATTAAAAAAAATAAAAAGTAAAAAGAAAATTGTCGTAAAGGGGGGAACCAAGCTCCTTTTTTTAAATTTTTTCTTTACTTTCGATTTTTCGAAATTAGAAAAAATACACAGCTAAAGGCAAGAAAATATTATTTATTAATATACACTAAAGCTGTAAGAATTTTGTTCATTTTATATATTTGAGCGGGCCGAAAAACGCTCTTTACCATCTTTTGACGGGAGATGCACTAATATCTCACCGACACTTTACGACATCGTCTGTTGATATAGAAGAAGTTTTGCTTGCCGTATCGGTGAGAACCAGCCCCTGGACAGCCCACCTGATGAAGGGTAGGCCCAGAAACCGGTTGTGGGAGTGGAGCTTGGTTCCCCCCTTTACGACAAGCAAAACAATTTTCTTTTTACTTTTTATTTTTTTAAATTTTTTCTTTACTTTCGATTTTTCGAAATTAGAAAAAATACACAGATAAAGGCAAGAAAATTTTATTTATTTAGATATAACTTTGCGATTAATGGTCAAAAGGTTGTTTTTTAGCCACATTGGATGAATCAGAAAAATGTATTACTTGTTCAGTAGCTAATAAAATGGATTCAAGCAGCGACTCATGTAGACTATCGCATAACGTAAACATGTTCCAATACATAAAACGAATCAAAGGAAAATTGATGAAGTGGTAGAACATATTCAATCGTTTCCAGCATACGAAAGCCACTACTCAAGAAGACATACTAAAAAGAAATATTTAGCTTCAAACCTTAATTTGTCTACTATGTACAATTTATATTGTGAAAAGTATAATGAAAAACCAGTTTCGATTAAAATTTACGCTCGAGAATTTCATAAATTAGACTTGAGATTTAAAAAACCTAAAAATGACACCTGCACTAAATGTGATTAGTTTATTGTCAAAAGAAAAGTTCTAGGACAATGACGATGAAAAAACAAAAATCAAACAGGAAAGAAAAAATCATTTAGTCTGTGCAGATGCTGCATATGAGGCAAAAAAGCTGATAAACAAAAAGGTGTAATAGATGAAACTCACGTTACGTATGCTTTTGACCTACAGCAAGTACTACAGACACCGTACCTGTCTTGCAACAAAATATTTTACTTAAGACAGTTAGCAACATATACTCTGACGATTCACAATTGCAATACTGGAGAATCTATATATTATATGTGACCAGAGTGTACTGCAGGTAGAGGCGCAAATGAAATTGCATCATGTCTGTTTCGCCACATAACCACAAACATTCTAAATATAACTAAAACGGCAATATTTTACTCTGATACTTGTGGAGGGCAAAATATAAACTTCTATGTGTGTTCCATGTCCGCGTTTGCAGTTCAGAAACATCCGCCTTTAGAAATGATTGACCACACGTTTTTGGTACCAGGACATACACATCTAGAATATGATGTCGCTCACTCTGTCACTGAAAGAGCCAAAAAGAATTGTGGTTTTGATATACATGTCCCCAGTGATTGGTACCAACTAGTTCGTACGGCAAGCAAACAAAATAAATTTAAAGTTGAAGTTATGGAGCTAGAACATTTTTTTGCATTTTCGGAGCTCAGTTTAAAAGGTCCACTAAGAGCAAAAGACAAATCGTTTAAGCTTAAAGAAATACGGTGGATTAGATACAGTAACGAGCCTGTTGTTCAGTTTAAAAATACATTAGAAGAAGAGGTGCCTCTTTCGGAAATAAACTTTTTAAAGAAAAGCCAAAAACTAAATAGTCTAATAAATTATTTTCTAGCTCAGCTTTTTACTAGTAGACGACCAATAAGTGCCAAAAAGAAGAAAACTTACTTCAAATTGTTAATTTACTGGACAAAGATGTTCAACAATATTACAAGGACCTTCCAACTGACAAACAAATCGAAAAAGACACTCATCCAGATCTTGATCGATATGATTCAGATGCGAATGAATAATATTTTTTTGTTGTGCCTGTTGTTTCTTACTTTATGATATAAGTTTTTTCACTCTCATAGGTTCTCGTTGTAGACATTTTATGCATTAACGAAAATATTAATCAAGAATATTTTTTATTTTCATATGAGTAGTAAAGTTGGCCTTAATTCAATGTTTTTTTAACATAACCAAACTCTTAGAAGAATGTATGTAAAATAAAAACTGTTGTATGTATACTTATGTCCTTTCTTACCATCGTGGACATAAATTAAAATTGTTATATGTGGAGCTATGTCCTTTCGCCCATTGTCAGGATATTATCAAAACTGGTATATGTGTACTT